ACCATTTTCCATAGAGGCTGGACCATTTTGCGGTCCCACCAGCAATGTATGAGAGTTCCTTTTTTCTCCGCAACCTCACCAGCATTTATCGTTCACAGTCTAAATATTTTGAACTATCTTGATTGCCAAGCTTTTTGTCACCCCCTTAAATTTTGCACAGAGGTGAGTGCCTGCCCTTCCTCCTCTTGGTCCTGGCCTTGGGCGAGGCTGATGACACGAGAGGCAAAACAGAAAACCACCATGGCTCAGTCTGCTGGGTGTGCTCTTTGGATGGCGGGGAACCTGCCAAGGATATGGCAGGTGTTCGATAAACAGTGGGTCCCCCACCCAATCCCACAATCCTGGCTCCCCTTCCCTGCTTGTGCACTGAGTATGGGGAAATTGGGCTGGAAGGAGACCACTGCCCTGCCCAGCCCTTGACCAGGCCCACCCCCAGCGGAGCTGCAGCTGCCCGTGTCTGTTGGCAGACTTGGCGGCACCGTGGCTCCTGCCATGGAAGCATGCTCTGTTATACTTAAAGAAGGCCCCCTTGGGTTTACGGGGCATGATTGTCAAGGTCCCTCCTGCGGCAGCTCCTCTAAGGCAGCCTTGCTGCATTTCAGCTCCCAGGAATGTGGCTCCCTGGCTCCTCTTGCTAAGGAGCCCCTTCCCCAACTTTCTCCAGGTTCTCCGACTTAGTGCACACGTCATTTTGTGGAGGCCATCTTCTGGTCTGTTCTTGCGTTTCCTTTCATCCCCTGATGCCATCTCCTCTTGCCATGGAGACGCCCTCCTCAGCTCCAGCCCTGCTCTGGGTTCCGGATGCTGAGGGGGACCCAGCAGATAGAAGTGCCTCCCAGCTCCATTACATTCTGGCTCCTCTTCACCTGGGACCTGCTTGGAAGCCTGGAATATGCCTTCCCCATCCCTGTCCTTGCCGAGCATTCTGGTCCCTTCCACTTCTGACATTTCACTTGGACCCTACCTCTGCACGGCCACCTGTGACTGCTGCTCATGTGGCACAGGATGCCTTCCCCATCCCTGTCCTTGCCGAGCATTCTGGTCCCTTCCACTTCCGACATTTCACTTGGACCCTACCTCTGCACGGCCACCTGTGACTGCTGCTCATGTGGCACAGGCTGGCATATTCTAGCCTGGGCTCTGCATGTGCTGGTGCCTGGTGGCAGTGGAGGGGCAACAGATGTGGCAGCAGCTAGGACGTGGGTTAGGCATAAGGAAGCCTGGGACCCAGGGTGTCTCTGGCACAAACTCACTGTGACACCCAGGGCAAATCCCTTCTGTCTGGACTTTAGTCCCTGGTGACTCCTTGAAGTTAAGGTGAGTTGACCTACTAAGGTCCCTTCCAGCTCAAACATTCCATAAATCTGTGATCTGGGCATTTTGCATGTGCTCAGCAAAATTGTGATGTCATGGAGCACAGAACCACAGAACTCACAGCCTTTTCTGCTCACAGGAGGATTCTAGACACATTGTGGACCACCTGAATCTCACCAGGGACGGTCTGTGAGGTGCCAAACAAGAGCACTTCCCACAGCATTAATGTTACTAACCAGGATCATTCCAGCAATTAACGTGGGGGCAGGGAGGAGACGGCCAGGCACCAGCCCTGCCCTGGGAATCAGCAAACCTGAGATTAGGGCTCCTGCCCCCAGCACAGAGCAGGGAGACAGGCATCTTCTCAAACTAGACAACAAAGTGCTGACCCTTCCCCTGCATAGGCCATTGGAGTGCTGTTCTTGCCCACTAATTGCAGAACAGCAGATGTTTTAAAATAATTTAGTCCAAACTGATATTTTGCTGATTTCACATCCTGTAGCATATTCCTTGATCCCAGGTTTTGCTGGCACAGCAGGGAGGCACTGGAGGCTGTGTGTGCGTGTGAATGAGAGGGAGAGAGAAAGACACACACACGCACAGAAGATACAATCTGGAGAAACTGTACACAGCTGAGGGAAGGAGATCACATTTCATGGCAAAGAATGTGCCCTTGGAGGGTAAATGGACAAGGGTCAGGCTTAGCTCTGTCACGGACAACCTGGGGGATCTTGAGCAAATGTGCGACCTCCCAGGGCCTGTTTCCTTCTTAGCAAAATGGGATGAAAACAGTGCCTGCCTGTCAGGGTTGTGGGGAGATACTCAGATCAGTGCTCTGCTGAGAGAGGCCAGGCATCCTTCTCATCAGAGGATCCTTCCCTCCGGAGCTGGATCCTTTCCTCCGGAGCTGGATCCACATTTCTGGCCCTTGGGACCTGATCGCTATCCTCTTCCTCCCCGTAGATTCCTCCTCTCCTGTAAATGACCACAAAGGAAGACAATGAATGAGGTGAAAGAATCCCTTCGCAGCATCGAACAGAAGTACAAGCTCTTCCAGCAGCAGCAGTTTACCTTTATTGCTGCTCTGGAGCACTGCAGGGAGAACGCCCATGACAAGATCCGGCCCATCTCCAGCATTGGACAGGTGGCACCCCCACCAGGGTTAGCGGGTGGGATCATTGGGGACCTGCCAGACTCAGAGATTCCTGGGCGTCTTCAAGCCCAGTGTCCTCTCTTGAAAGATGAAACAGCTGGGGCCCAGGGAGGGTAAGCACGTTTGTGCCAAAATCAGGACTCAGACCCTAACTGGAATGAGTCAGTCATTCATTCTCCCTGCAAATACGTGACTGAACAACACTGTGGTTATAGAGATGGGCCCAAGACTCAGCCAGCCAGGGCTTAAGTCCTGAATCCACCCCATGCTACCTCTGTGACCTCGGGCCAGCGAGTTCACCTCTCTGAGCCTCAGTTCCCTCATCTGTCATGCAGATTCAATGAAGTCATCCAAGGAAAACTCAGTTCAGGGCTGGCCCGTACCAAGCACTCAAAGAGCGTACAGTGTTATCTGCCAGTATCTGAGTACTGGAAATTTATTGGTGACCAGACAGATATGGTTCCTGTCATCAGATTCCACTGGGGTTTGAGACACTGTGACATACCAAGCACATTGCTAGTTGCTTTTGCAGATGTTTTTATTTAACCCATGTTTCCTCCAAGGTTAGCTACTGTCCAAGTTCTCTCTGCAGGACTTGGAGGCCTCAAGACCGAATGAACCTTCCAGAAAGTTAGGGGCTTGAGCCACAGTGCAGTTAGAAACAGCACAGGCCTCTCAGAGGGAAAAGATGCTGCCGGTGAAGGAGTCAGCTTGTCGAAGGACACCCGCTCCCAGAGATTGGGGACAGGACTCAGAATAGGAGAGGGCTGGCCCGTGGCTCACTCAGGAAAGTGTGGTGCTGATAACACCAAGACCACGGGCTCGGATCCCATATAGGGATGGCCGGTTAGCTCTCTGTGTGAGCGTGGTGCTGACAACACCAAGTCAAGGGTTAAGATCCCCTTACCGGTCATGTTTAAGAAAAAAAGAACTCTTAGAAGAAACAGGACCCCAGAGAACAAGCAGCTCTTGCTGGCGGTATCCTTTAAAAAGTTTCTTTTCTAATTTTTGTAAAATTTCTCGATTTTTTTAACTTGCAAAATCTTGAACATCCAGAAAAGGAAAGAACACCCATGTAACCTTAACCTAGATTCACCAATTTGTAACATTTAGTCACACTTGCCCGTGCGTGTGCCCCTGAACTATTTGAAAGTAAATTGGCTACATCTTTTTCAAAGCTCAGTCCTCCAAGGGCACTGAATGAGTTTTCAACTTCCAAAAGTAGCCCCTGAGACCCTGCCTCTGTCACAATCTACATCAGTGCTGTGTGACTCTGCCGCTCCTGCGCATAAAGGAGTGGCCTTCCTGCCTTAAGTACAACCCAAGCGCTTGGTAAACAATGGCCCTGTCTTCTGACTCTCCATCTGAGGTTTTGACTCTCCACCCTCTCCTCTCTGCCTGAACCAGAGGTGTCCAAAGGTCCCCGCACACATACCAGGTAGTCCAGTGACGCTGCTGCTGTAGTTACAGCACGGTGCAGGCACCTCCTCCTGACCCCCTCCAGGTGCCTGTGCAGGTGGGGCAGGTGCATGTATCAAAAGCCTCTCCCCCCTCACAAAGCTGCTGTGTGCCTGGCAATACTTTGGAAAGAACCACTTCAGATTGTTTGGGAATACATCCCTTGGCAACAAAAAGGCAACTGGTTACAGAAGAAAAACCCTGGTTTAGACTTAGAACTTTTTGGGTGCTGGAGGAGGAAGGTCATAGCTCCTTCCATCATCAGACTGTGGAGACAGAACTACTGGACTGTGAAATGGGTCAGCTAATTCTGCCTGGAACCGACTCTGGTCCACAGGGCCTCCAGCCCTGGCCCAACCTCAGATGCAGAGTCTTTGGGCAGTCCCAGGTAACTCTGGAGAAAGTCCAACCCAGGAAGGATCCCCATCCCCCTACCACGGAAAAGAGGTGACAGGAGGTCAGAGTATTGATTCTTAATTAGCACCTTCTATGGCTTAAGAAAGGTTTCCATACTTCCACATCTAAAACATTTTCTCACGGGAGTTTTCAATTTTTATTTTTGGTATTTAAGCTTGTGATCCTCCTAGAGTTGATTTTTGAATACGGGGTAAGGTCAAGAGCACATTTTATGTTCTCATATGGATCATCACTTTCCCCAGCTCCACTTACTGACCTGTCCTTCCTTTCTCTACCTTGTAAACGCAGTAAAACTAACGCCCAAGGGATTCTAGTTTTTTCTATTTCCTCCTCAGTATGGGTGGCCCAACCCAGCAGTTCTCAAAGTGGGTCCTCTAAGTGGGACTATCAGACAAAAAGTTAGGGACTGGCTCCTTTTGCTTTAAGTGGTATGGGGACTGGCGAGGGGTATGGGCTCAGAGCCGTTGACTGGGGGGTGAAATTGGCTAAGCCACTTCCATTGGTGCCCTGAGCAGGTTATTTCATCTCTTTGAATCCCAATATTCAAGGTTTTTGTCTGTAAAATCAGGGCTGAATAATGTACCTACTGTGACTAGGGTTTAGGTGAGGAGTAAGTGAGATCAGGCCTGCAAAGCATCTGCACAGCGCCTGGGACACTTGATGATGTTAGCTATGTACAGTGTTCTGTATGTTAAAATGCGTAAATGTTACTGGCATCTCTCCTGTGAATCTGGCAGGGGGGAGGGAATAGGGTGTTGCTTCTGAATGTCTGCCCCATAAACCAACTGGGATCTGGGTTGGTATGTCCCCAGCTCACGCTGCGTTGCCCTCTGCAGGTGCAGAGCTACACAGAACACTACTGCAACAATTCCACGGACCGGCGGATCCTGCTCATGTTCCTGGACATTTGCTCGGAGCTGAACAAGCTCTGCCAGTACTTCGAGGCCCTACACTCTGGCAACCCGGTCACCAACAACCTCCTCGAGAAATTCAAAACCCTTGTCAGCCAAAGCAACGATTTAAGCAGCCTCAGAGCAAAGTAAGTTCCTTCTGGTCCTGTTCTTGAGGCCTCAGCGTACACCTGCGGGGAGGCCTTTTTTGAGGGGGCAGGTAACTCTGAACTGTTTCTGTCCTTTGTTGCGTGGATAAGGTGGCTGCTGTCCAGACTGCCCTAGGTGAGAAATCCTGGTCCTGCTAATTTACTGGAATGACTCTGACTCAATAAAACCTTTTTAATATCAGGCCATGGATGGCAAGACCCAGAGCATCTCACTGGATTTAGCCCCCCAGGCCAAGGGTTATAACAGCAGTTCCCAGAAACCACAGAGATCCTAACTAGCAGGCAAGCAAGCAGGACCCCCGTCGGAGCTATGTCCATGGGCACCACTACTGAGGCTTCCTCATCCTGACACTGGGAAGCCACAGAAGAATGTGCCAGTCTCGAGGACAGTCTAGATATTAGGGTAAGAGGCAAAGGGCCTTACCAGCGTTTTTGAAAGATTACAGCAGGTTCATTCCTCAGCCTGATCCAGGTTTCCACCAACTGCAGGTCGGCGGTTCGTAACTCCTGCTTTTCACACCAGACTTACCTGGGCCTCTTGGTCCCCAAACCTGCTGAACAGAACCTCCCAGACCAGAGAGCCCGAGTGTGGTGTCCAGTCTTAGCCCCCCTGCAGTGGTTCTGCTGTGCCCACGCCTGGCAGCTGCTTGCTGCGGCCTGGCAAGTCCCTGGAGAGTGGGCTCACCCGGCCCCCTGTGCTGTCCTGCAGATACCCTCATGACGTGGTGAACCACCTCAGCTGTGACGAGGCCAGGAACCACTACGGAGGTGTGGTCAGCCTCATCCCCATTGTGATAGACTTAATGAAAGAATGGATCGCCCACTCGGAGAAGCTGCCCCGCAAAACGCTGCAGCATGTGAGTGGGCCCCCAGCAAACCAGGAAGCCAAGGGGGCAGCTACTCATCCTGCCCAGACTTCGGGCACCCAGCCTGGGTTAAGAAAACACAAGTGTGGGCAGTTCACAAAAGACAGCCTCAAGCCTAGGGGGAAAGACAAAGGATATTCAAAACCGCCCTGGAGACCACCTGGTGGGAAACTGTAACTCAAAGGCAGGGAGCTGCTCCATCGGTGGGGGTGCTTTGTTACTTAATTTGGTTTCCACTGGTTGATCCATTTTCATGGGCATCCACAGTCCCTGCCACTTATTAACCACAAATGGGATTGCCAATATATTACTGAGAATCTCTCTCCCTGGCTTGCTTTAACTTCCAACTTTTCTGCCTCTAAGCATCAGGCTCTGTGCTGATGAAGAGGATCCCCACTTACACAAGTTGCCTAAATAGCTGGCGTTGGTAGAGGGTGTCCCAGGAAACACTGAGCTGCCCACCAGGTTCTCTTTGAGCCTCACCCACCACAGTGCCAGGCCTGCCTACGCTGTGGGCTCCAGTGAGCCATCACCAGCTGCAACCGTAGGCAAGGCACAGGCTCTCTCTGCAAGACAGGGATGCTCCCGCCTCGGACCAAGGGGGAATGAACCCACCTTTCCCTCTCCTTTACTCGAGCGAGGGAGACCATGACAAAAGCCAGAAGAATTCTGATTTTGTGGTTCCTGTACAAGGACAGTAACCTGTTTTTCACAGCATAGTCGTGGCCCAAACATTGTAAAATGTGTCCCTGGCTTCTGAGCTTGCCAGAAGTGATGTCTCACTGTTCGTTTTTCCCTTCACAGGGGACGACTTAGCTTCAGTATTGTTGCTTCCTCAGGGGGAGACAGTCAAGAATAAAAAGTGTTCTACCAGCTCTCTGCCTGGCTTGGCTTCCTGGGAGTGATCCCTGAAAGAAAACCCACATTTCTCCCAAGACATCCAAGGACACTGGGCAATGGCCACACACGCAAAACCACTGGCAGCTAGCAGAGAGAGAAACCACTGCAGACAGGTGCATGCCCATCTCCAGAGTTTGCTTCTAAGAGCCTCAGGCCAAAGATCCACAGAAGGCCAGCATGTAGACATTTCTCCAAGGGTGAAAAGTAACTCTGTCTGTTAGAGACCTATTCAGAAAAGAAAACCTCAGCTTCCTAGACAAATTAAAAACTGCCAAGTCTCCATTTCAAAAGATCTGCTTCTGCCATTAAAATGGGCAGAGCAATACTGATTTCCAGTCACAGCCAGGCGGAGGCAAACAACTGAAAACCACAAACACTGAGACATTCCAAAAAAAGCTCTTCATCGCTGCTCCTTACATGTGTCCCAAGCCAAGAGATCGTAAGCCAGGTGGATCTCCAAGTCGTGTGAAGGCAGTTTCCTGCCTTCTTCCAAATACCTGAAGGGCACAGAGGAGGTGGTGATGACAGCTCCAAAAAAAGCTCTTCATCGCTGCTCCTTACATGTGTCCCAAGCCAAGAGATCGTAAGCCAGGTGGATCTCCAAGTCGTGTAAAGGCAGTTTCCTGCCTTCTTCCAAATACCTGAAGGGCACAGAGGAGGTGGTGATGACAGCTGCACCTTTTCCTTGGTACACTCAGAAAACACAGCCAGCAAGGCTTAGGGTTAGTGAGCTCTAAAACGTCAGTTGGGTTCCACCAAAAGAACTACATGAAACCCAACATGCCAGACATCCCCTAGGAACGTAGGCACTGAAAGCAAGGCTTGGCGGCAGTGCAGACCTGCAGGCTGCCTGGCTTTGAGGGTTTCTCTGATAGAGATGACTCAAGTGACACACACCCGTGCCCCCACCACCCGCCCAAACATGCCACTGCCACTTTTTAGGGAAGAGCATGAATTCAAGGCAGATAAAGGCAGGATTTGTGGCTGAGATAATTTGCCACAACAAAAAGAATCTTACAGACACTAAAGCCAAAATCCATTGTCAGTCCTCTCCAGCCACACAAGGTAACCAATCCAGACCCTAAGGCTTTTTTATCTTTGGACTAGTCCCCTACTTCACCCCAAGGCCAGCATAAGTCACTCCATGTCACAGCAGAATAGTGCAAAACAATAAATTTTTATTTGTTCACAGTTAAACACAAGCAACTGCCTTGACATTTTAGAACATTCTAAGAAGGACAGCAAACCCTTTTGATGCCAATTCTCATTCACTAAGATTGTACCATTTTCTCTTGCAGTTCATATTTATGGCCTCTGATGTGGATTGTTTGACATGCTTTTAAGATGGGGTAGGAAAGTTTAAGCCTTTTGACAAGAGATGACTTGATTTAACTAAAAGCAGTTAAAAAAATGTTTCTTTCATTGATGGGACCCCTTTAAACTGCAAGTTAGCCACATATGGTTCACCATGATTGAATTATAAAACTAGATTATGTCTTAGCAAAATCTGTTCCTCCATAATATATTTGTGGTCCATAGAAGTCTTCTGAAAAGTGATCACTGATTCTTCCTAGTGTAAAATGCCTGGCTGCCTCTTTGATAAGCTGAAGTATTTGCTATGTAGAGCAGCACCATACCCTCTTGTCCAAACACTGTATCAAGGTGAAAAAAGGGAGGGAGGGTTTGGTCTGGGGGTTCTCAAACTCTCAACGTCTCCTTTAGAAGATTATTCCAATGGTTAAACCAGCCTACTTATCACATAGGATGGCTAATTTTGTGGCATTGGGTGGGGGGTGGGGTGGAGAAAGCTCCTCTGCCTTCATGAACTCATTTCAAGGCTAAATGCCAATTGTGGGTGCAGGTGCTCAACTATCCCGGGCAGGTCCCCTTGTAGCTACAGCCACTCTTCTCTTGGGTGAGCACACATGCTGCAGGAAGGCATGGAAAAGACGGAAATGCCACTCCCCTGGGCACAATGAAGAGTCACAGATGGGGAAACAAGCCACAAGGGGACAAAGGTCACAGGCAGCAGCTGAGGGGCCAGTCCCCAACCTAAACTTGTTCTGTTACAGACAAAATGCTTAGTCAAGTGCAATCAATTACTTTGCAGTGATCTGGGGAGGGGGGATTGGGGGACCAGAGGCAGGTGTCACAGAACTCTGGATGTAAACAGATACACAGACATCTTCAGACTGGATACATTTCCAATACTCACTGCAAGTCACTTTTAAAGCACGTACCTTGGAGAGTGAAAACACAGCAGGTAAGGGGTGCTGATGAGGGTCAGTGCGCACAAGGCAACTTCCTTCCCAAGTGAGGCCGACTCTCCTGGGTGGGCCTGGGCTTCTCGGGGACCACTCTCCAAGAGTGTCCACAAGGGTGGGCAGCACTCCATCTCCACCGCACTTCCAGATGGAGCCTCGACACTGCCCAAACCCTCCTCCAGCCTGTTCGCACTTCCTCCTGTCTCTTTGTGCTTCAGGGAGAAAAACCGAGCATCGTCACGCAGTACTTGTGTATGCTGTTCAGTTCGTTCTTTCTGGCTTCAAGTGGTATGTTCTAGCATTTGGTAGAAATTCCCATTGGCTAGTCACAGCACACTTTGGTTCTGTTGTGTGCCCAGAAACGTGAACCCCATTTTCTATTCTTGACTGCAAGTCTGAGCCTCTGTGGTCCAGCTCACATCCCCACACCTTCTGACGCACCCTCCTTTGTACAGCTGCTGGAGTTTTATCTTTCTACACAAACATTGGAAACTATATGTGCTGCTTCACATGGGGATGGCCCCGAGTCCAGGGTTTTGTTTCCTGTTGTCCTGTTTTGCCCAGTAATGTGCTCCAATTAAGGAAAAGGCTTTGATTTAAGTGCCTGGTATCTTTGTTCTGCAGCACAGATCTCTTATGCTTGGGAAGGGGGAAAGCACTTAAAACTGGTTTTCATAGTTAACCTACAACACTTTTTTTTTCCCTTTCTGAATCTGTTCATGCTTTCCTCTTTTAAACTAAACTAGGTAACTAGGATGTATTGGATTTCAAGCTTTCCTTTGGACAAAGCTGAATTAAACCTGGGGTGTCACTAACACTCCACATTGGACATCCAGCAGCAACTGCGACCCCATGCTAGGCTGACAGCATTTGGAGACATTCCCTCTGTGGGCTGGGAATCAGTCACACCCAGAAATCCTGTACCGACCAGGTCTTCTGCCAGTATAGCCATGGGGATATGGGGTCTCTGTCTAGCTCCCTTTAGTTAGAGATGACAGCGTATTTATTGCCACACTTAAAAAAAAAAAGAAACACTTTCACCCTTACGTGCTGGAAACTTCAGGATGCAGTAGGATTTCGTACCATTAGTTTCTTCTACCTCTTCATGGCTGAACCCTTCTATTCTTTCTACTGAAAGAATAGAAACAGGAAAACCAAATTCACCAGCTCTTTCCTACCAAGTCTCTCCTTGCCTCATCTGGATCACCAGGCAACAATTCTTGGGCTTCTAGCATTTATTTCAGGAGCATCTGCTGAGTTTGGATTCTCTGCCACTGCCAGCATTCTGACTGGTGTCACCCCTCGTGAGCAGCTGGGGCAACCCAATGGGGACACACAGTCAGCCTCTGTCGATACTTTCCCAGACTCTGCTTTCAATTTCTCTGCTGTTACTAACACGGGAGGGTGTGACAACATCAAGCTCCCTAGAGAGTCAGTCCCTGAAAAGTAGAACTGATGTGGAAAAGCCACTACCTTTTTTGGTGGCCTAAAACTTACCACAGAGAGGCAGCCCTAACAGCCTGAGAACGATGGTCACATAAACTGTGAAGAAACTCTTTGGACCTTCATAGCCTTTCTGCTGCAGCATCACAAAGAAGCTGACATAAACAAGGGGCGCACGTGAACACAGAGAGAGGCAAAAGACAGAGAGTTTAACCAAAGGCTCAGCTAGACAAGACCAGCCTGGAGGTGCAGTCCCTCAGGCTCAGCTGTCTCTTGGGTAACTTCTCCTGCTCCTTGCCTCCTGCAGAGAACAGATTTTGCCACCTACACACCAGCCTGTGGTCAGAATAGTACCAGCATTGAAGCAGACACCAAATAAATAAGAGGTAGTGGGGGGAAGGAGGGACAAGAGCTTTCCCAAAGGGTAAGTATGGTCTCTACAGTGCAGCTCTAGATTTTTGAAACAACAGGCATTTGTTCACACAGAACTTTCCAGGAAGCTTATCAGAACCGCCAAAAGAACGGAAGGGTGAATACACTATTGTTTTTCTAGATCTGCTGCTTCAGATGCTGAACTTCAGAACCAAAAAGCAGTGGGAAAATCTCATGTAAAAGCTTTCATGTGAAGACCGTCAGCTTTGCAGGCTACATCCTCTTAGAAGGGACAAAACCAGACTTACCTGCAACGCCAACTACCTGGCCTAACCAAGAGTGAACCCAGTTGTCTGAGCTTCAGGAAAGCAGAAAGTGGTGTGTTAGAATCAAAGATTAAGTTTGGCCTCATATTGCACAGGTTCAAAGGACGCAACCATTTTGGAGAAAAAGCTACTGAGGAATACAAATTGGCCCTCCGATTAGTACACACTGCTAGGTCAGTGAAAGAGAGGTTTGGGGGTGGGTTGAGGGGAAGGTTAAGAGGCATTTCCATGACAGATCCAAAAACCGTTCTGCATTCAGTCAGCTGTCAAAAGGACCTCCAACCCATTTCCATCACATGAGACAGCCACTCAGACCCTGGAAACAGGAAAGCTTTGAAACGTGCACTCACACCTCCTGTTCTATGCCAACGATACACAAGTTAACACTGATTGACCCCCATCCTTAGCTGTGTTCATGATGCGTCTCGTTGTAGTCCATGATACGAAGCTGTCCAACACTGTCGGAGTTTGGGGGAGATGGGTGTGGGCCATCTAGGTTCAGGGCAGTCTTGGCTTCCACACCCGAGTCTTTGCCCACTTCTGTCTTTAGGGTTTCAGAAAGGCTACTGATGGTCATGCCGTCCTCATCACACTGGCTCTCACTCTTATTACGAAATAACTCTCGGGCCTTCATGCCCAGGAAGCTCTTTGAACTGGGAAGTGAGCCAACAGTTGTAGGGATGCTGGTAGAGGGCTCTCCCATAGTAGTTTCCCACCGACTGCTGAATGGGCCTGCCCTTTGGCTTGGGGGCTTCTCTGGGGTAGAAAGCTCGCTGCTGCTGCTGCTGCTGCCTCCACCTCCTCTACTTCCACTACTACCCCGGGTGCTGCCAGGCCTGGGAGTCTTGGTCTCACCGTTGTGGCCAGATGCCTCTTCATTGTGCCCTACCATGGAATCTGAGCAGCCATCATTACAACAGTCAAGCCTGTAAGAAACCCAGAGAGGAAAAAAGCAGTTGGTGACTGTACTATCCACGTTGGAGAGATGTGGAATTACAATGACACTTGCTCACAGACACTGACCTCTGCTAGCCTGCACTGTTTTATAATAGCAAACTCAAGTAAGAGATCTCAAGAGAAACTAAGTCACAGTTAGGGATACTAGATGGCAGTCCTAAATATGAACACTTCCTGTGGCCATATCGAGCAACTCAGGGCCAGGAAAAGGAACATGGAAAGATCACTGGGCACTCTGAGAAAAGGTAAGTCATTTCAGCTCTCTGAAATGGAGTGAGCCGAGTGCTGCAGCCCTGTCTATCTAAGCAGCTATAACTGCTTCCAGCACCATGTGATGTGGTCCTTGTTCTGCTAGCGGCAGTTTAATCATAAGCCATTGATGCAACTCTTTGTTCCTACCTTTCTTCTGCGGCTTCAGCTGCTTCTGTCTTTTCTTCTTCAAGTTTTTTCAGGAGGCCATCTTTCTCCAACCTGCCATATAAATCTAAGATCTCCAATTCAAACACTTGTGTAATCCTTTTCTGAGCCTCATACCTGCTCTCTGCAGCCTGCAGCTGTCCTCTGAAAGATAAAGACCAGTCCAGAATATGTGAATTCCCCTTAATAAAGAACACATCACTGCAAAAACCTTTCCCAATGGAAGTTACCTTGCCTGGAGTTTGACGTCCTCTAAATATTTCTTCTGTTCCAAAAGAAGGTGGTCTTTCTTGGCCAGAAGAGATTCCAGTTCTGAAATCCGTTTTTGGGAGGTATCAAGCCTCTGATTCTGCTGGAGAACATGGCTTCTGTTTTTTTCTAGTTCTTTCCGATATGCAGCTTTCATCATTTCCACTTCCTAAAAAAAAAGATTGGAGTGAGTATTTATAGAACACGAACATGCCCTAACCACTTTGAAAAAATGATATAGTAAGTATTGAGAAGGCACTTCCGTATACTGGGGGTAGAAATATAAATTAGTACAACTTTCTGGAAAGTAAGCTGGCAGTAAGTATTAACCTAGGAATCCTTCCTTCAACTCCATCCCTAAGGAAAACATCTGAAACACAAATAGACATTCTGCACAAAAATAATCATCACAGCATATTTATAAGAGCAAAAAACTAGAAACATCCTAAGTCTAACATCAGCAAAATAGATGAAGTATATCTTATATTTGTGAGTTTTAAAAAATGGTGTGATAGCAGTAAAGAGATTTTTAAAAAGCAGACTATAAAAGTGTGTGAACAGCACGATCGAACATGATCAACTATGTAAACATATACATTAGCAAAACACCAAGTGAAAATATGCCAGGATTCACAATTGTAATTTCACTACAGGGGTATTGTGGGTCATCTGCTTTTATATTTTCCTCCCTCTCCTAACACCAGTGGAGGTAAAGCTAGAGCACATGACACGAAGGGAGCAGGTTTGTTTAAGCAAAGCAGCATTTGCAGATTAGGTCCCCTGACAAGGTCTGTCAATCATGCCAAGGCAGGTGGCCTGCCTACTGACAGATCGGAACATCTACAGTAAGTAGACGCTAATGCTCAGAAAAAAGGTGGAAAGGATACTTTTCTAACAAGTATGTGTTACATTTGTGTATGTGTGTGTGCGTGTGTTTATTGTGGTAAAATACACATAAGATGAAACTTGCCCATACGTTTGGTTTTTAAAAAAAGATAATAAACCATAAAGAGCAAGGAGACAAGCTTTCTCGAGGTGCCCCTGCCTTGAAGCTGACTGGTTGGTAAACACAATGCTTCTTTGGTGCAGAATGCAACAGATCTAAGCCCAGAACTGGCTATCTGATAATGTGGCCATTCCAGCCGTGCTAAGTGGCAACAGACTTCAGCACAGACTAGGTGAACACTCTGACTTTTGTCATAAGCGACAGTACTTATCTATGGATGATCGTGCAAGGTACTGAACCTGGAACACCCGTGCCCTCTCACTAGTCCTCTTGATTGCCGCATGGGATACCTCACCCCACTCCTTCCTGCCGTTCTCCACCTGATTCTCAGACACCCAGCTCTTTTCCTCCGCTGCAATGAACAAGAGCAACCCTAGCTCCAGGTCCAGGGGCAAAGCCTGACTGGCTGAAGGTAATGACTGGGCTAGGGATGGGTACGCGACACAGTCCTGGCCAAAAAGAGAGATGGGAAGTGTGGTGGAAGGTGTCTAGATTTCCTTGCTGAGAGAGACCCATAGGAAGAGAAGTTCCTCTTCTGTGAAGCATTGTGGTGTCTGCCTGTGACACCTGTACCTGTAGCACACACCTGCCAACCATGAATGCAGAGCTGGAGGACAGGACCAGCTGGGTGAGACAGGCAGTGCAGGAGAGGGAAGAGCCCAGCTCCTTGATGCTGTCCCTGAATTGCCAACTTGCCCACCTGGACCTTCCCCACCCCGGGACTTCTTGACAACTGAAACAACCCAATTCCTCACTGTTAAGACAGTTTAGCTTATTTTTTGTTGAGGGTATCCTGATTATTACAAATCAGTATTCTCACCCTCATTTTATGAACCACGACACAAGGGCCCAAAGAAGTTAGGTGACTGCTCGAACTTCCAAAGAGTACAAGGATTCCAAATCAAAGGCCACACCAGAGGCCAATCTATCCATACTTCTCTCGGGACACATTAAGAATACATTTCAGTAAGCTTTTTCAGAAGTTTTCTTGGCCCTTAAAAGTCTGTTTTCCCCCTTTCTTTTCCCAAGCCATTATTCCTCCAAAATAAGTGATAGGTAGTTTCTAGAGGAAGTTCCACATCTAACGTCTTTCTAAAGGGAGTCTAAATCTGAGAGTTGAGAGGAGCTGAGAAATAAAGAGTAACTCTATTATGAAAATTACATATCTCCAGTTCTAAGACTACTGTCTACATTTGGCCAAAAAAGATACTTTACAAAGCACAAGCCTAATAAATCCTGAAAAGAAGGCCCATGTGTGATGGAGAAGTTACTGACAGGAAGCATCTGAACATTTACTATTAAAATTTTATTCCCAACTCATTCACTAACATTACCTGAGGCTATTTATACAGTGACATAAAACTTCTGCCTCGACACCACTGGTGAGGCACTAATTAATGTAAGATCATCCTGATGCTGGCCTTGTTGCCAGGACTGAACTACCATCTGCAGAAATTAAATTCAACATTAAAAGGAGCAAAAATGATATGTACACCAGTATATAGCATGGTCCTGAGAGGTATGTTAAACAGGATCTGTTGCCTGTCTTCCATCTTTGTCATGATCTCTCTCTCTCTTTTTTTAAAGGGGGCAAGGGAAAGAGAAGGGAAACACTTTTACACATACTCCATACCAATTACCATGAAATGCTTGTACTTACACCTTGACTTAATTTCAAAACAACCCAACAAGGGGACATGATCTCACATGATAGCTGGAAAGTGCTTGTACTGCTGGGCCAGGGAGAGGTGGGAGTAGACTGCTGCTTCATCTTTCAGGAAATAATTCATAAATATGTAGATATACTGCCTGGGTCTGAAGAGCTTTTCCACCTAAGGTTTGGCTCCCTGAGCCCGATCTCACATGATAGCTGGAAAGTGCTTGTACTGCTGGGCCAGGGAGAGGTGGGAGTAGACTGCTGCTTCATCTTTCAGGAAATAATTCATAAAGTATGTAGATATACTGCCTGGGTCTGAAGAGCTTTTCCACCTAAGGTTTGGCTCCCTGAGCCCCAGCATACCTTTGTGGTGTCAGAATGCTTGTTCTGCAGTTGTTCCAAATACAGCTCGTTGACCTCCCCAAGAACCAACAGCTGCCTGTTCAAGAACTCCATCTGCTGCTGGACTGACTCGCTATTTGAGAGCTAACCAAAACATACAAACAAGCAAAGTGAAAAATCTGGCAACTCAAAACTAGCAAATGGACATTAAGTGGGGAACCAGCTAAGAGCACAGTATTTCCATGCTAGGGCAGAATAAACATCTCTCATCGTTTCAAGTTCCCCGACATAATGGCTAGTGGGGAGGAAGGCACCCAAGGGCAACAAAAACGGACAGAAATGCACGTCAGAATTGTGCTGTGCAAAGGGAAAGAGGCACAAATGCACAACATCCAATCCGGCCACCCACAGGACACCTCTACAGCAGGGACTTCAGGTCCAGAGGGATGAAGCCCCTGGGGAAACTCACTCACTGTTGAGTGAATGAGTGCAATGAATCCCAAAGTGGGAGGAATCACAGCTCAAAAACCTGAATGAACTTGTACGTGTATGTAAATAAGGTATTAAGAAAGAATTCCAGGGGATTTAGTAGACTAGAGATTAGGCTGGATACTTCTTTGTTGTGTGGGTCTGGTCTGTGCAATGTAGGATATTTGGGAGCACCCCTGGCTCCTACACACTAGACACCAGTAGCACCAAAAATGTCAACCTAAAATGTCTCTAGACATTGCCAAATGTCCCCAGAAGCTGGCAGGGGACAGAATCACTCCCTATTTGGGACTCCTGACATAAGCCCCTCAAGTGATATATTGTCCTGTCCCAGGAAGAACACAGCGAATGGTGTCTGAGCTGACACGGGCCCGCTGCCTTTCTTACCTTCTGAGAAACCTGGCTGAGCAGCAGTTCGGTGTGACAGACCTTGTAGTTGGCTTTCTTTAGCTCTATCCGCAGCTCTGCAATCATGCTCCTGCAGTCTTCCAGCTTTGTCTGCCCAAAGAGAAATGGACAGGAAGTGACAGCAGCATTGACAGGTCAGGCCACGAGCCTACCTGGCCCTGAGCCTACATAGAACTGAGAATGCCTAGCTTGACTGCTCTACTATGCTTGGGCCATCAGGATTTGACCTCTTAGTTTTAAAAAGTAAGTTACGGTTGATTTCTGAGTTCCTTACTATTTAACAAAAGAAAAAAAGACCTGAGATCCACAGTTCCCAAACTGTGCCAAAGAGCCTGAGATTTCACAGCAAATTCATAGGGATGCTGCTGATATTTTAAGTTTTTGAGGGGAAAACAGCGACATCTGTCGGTCATTATGTGAACTAACTAGCTGGAGGTAGCTGATAGTTCAGTATTAGATGGTGCTGTATGCTTGTGGATGACATCATACCTCTGTGTCCCCAGGTTTTTCATGGTTGCTGTGATAAAAAGCATCATGATAAAGCCAATGTGAAACAGGAAATGAGGGTGTCACTGTGCACTCTGATTCCAAGGTCTGAGACACTTGCAGCGCCCAACAGGTACACACATGGCATTAGTAATTGCAGTTATTTAAAAATTAAATTTAAAAAAAATTTTAGTTTATGTGTATTATTTACAAACAGCTACTAAATTGTTAGGACATAAATACTCACTAAGTTGTTTAGATCTACTTAATGAACAGAACTATTAAGTGTTTCTTTTGGCTGCAAAGTGCCTGGAAAAAAATTACTGAGAGACTAAGGGAGCTATGAACCAAGAAAGGTGGGAAACCTCTGCCCTAAATAAGATTTATCTGGCAGGAAATATATCTGCCATGATTTCAGAGAGAAAAGTACTCATCTTAGTCCAGCTGAAGAAGGTGAGAACACCTGTAGCAGTGCATCTGCTCTATCCCAATCACATTCCGTGCCGTTTGCTCTGCCTGGTGTTGCCGTTCATACCTGTAATTCCTGGCTCTGGTTGTAGAACTCTTCTCGGTCATGTTGCAGCTGTCTGATCTGGCTGTGGAGCTGGGTTACCACAGTGTCACGCTGCTCCTGAAGCTGACTGTATCTGGCTTGTTCTTTTTGTAGACTAACCTTCCATATCTGGATGTCCTTCTCTTGTAACTTCAACTGATCTTTCTAGCAGAGACCAGAGAAGCCACGGGCAGTGATGCTCAAGTTTAACACATGTTGCAAACATTTCATCTGAACAATCATAAGCTACCCTGGAACAGTAACCACAGACCCAGAATCTGACAGCTCACGAATGTCTTACTTGTCATTAGGTCAAGGTTCTCCAAGTTTCACATGAGCAAATGGACCATAATTGCTTAGAGAACCTTTTCTCAGGGATCAACTTGCTTCTAATACTTTCAAAAGTCTTAACCACTTGAATAAGACCTCCAATCCATGGTACTGGTTACGTTCACTAAAATGATGAACATTTACTGAATGCTTACAGTGTACTAGCCATTGAGCAAGTGCCTACTGACATGATTTATTTTAACCATCACAGCTTAAAAAGTAGGTGTTCTTATTGTTATTTCCTTTTTATAGAATGGGTTAGAGGCTTTGAGAGGCCAATTTACTTTTCTAAGGTAATAACTGGTAAAGCAAGGATTCAAACTCCAAGTCTGATTAGCTTCACACCTACTATGCCATACATGCTTAATTTCATGCCATGAAATAACTTCAGGAGCTCTGGTTTCACATATGGAGAAATAAAATAATCTCCTGACCCTTTTATCATCACAGCCAATTACAAGCAAACAAGCACACGAAAAATCACTTGTTTGCACAGTTCCCAAAAGCTACAAGGGAATTCTAAGACCTAGCCATTCATGTCTTAAGCTCACAGTCTAAGTGACCTGCCCCAAGCCACAGCAGTGAACACAGCTCAGACTGAGCATTGATCTTGATGCAGCTGCTGCTCTGCACAAGCTATTGCGTAGACCCAAAACAAAACAAAAACAAAGTCCACTTCCCCCACACCCCCCAGTCCTCACCATGGCAGCATTGTGTTCCTCCAGAGCTGCTGCTCTGATCACCTTGCGGAGGAGCCGTCTGTTCCGGACAGCATGCTGCTGCCTCTTAAATCGCTCATACAGCAGCTGGTTGTGCAGTAACAGCAACTGGTCTCGGAGGGTGCGGATCTCGTCTGAAGGAGGAGAGCCTGATGTCAAAGCACAGGGGGTGGCAGAAAATGCCTTTTACATGTGGTTCAATCAAGCCCCCTCCCATGTGCTGTTAGCTTAAGAACATAGTTCTTTAAGAAATAAATCAGCATTCACTTTGCAAATGACCACTTGGTTCCCAGCAACAGTCATTTGTTAGGAGAGGGAAAAGTATTTGCCACCTATCTCCCTTTTAAAGGAATGCACAGGGTTATATCACATGGGATGGCTCTTTGAGAGCTTTATTCTTTTCCCACAAACCCGGACCACACGTATACATTTGGGACTGCCTTTCCATTTTTCAAGGCTGATCCTTCACTGGTATGTTCTCCCCCAAGAAGACGCCCCAATACCGCTCACTCTACTTGGGTCTTTTCTAGGGATGTCTGCCATAAGGACTGTGCTTCTCGTACTTCTACTCTCAAGCACATGGTACTTGCCACTTCTCAAAAACAGGAAATGCTGACTTTGCAGCACTTGAGATCCTTTAGCCAAACCGATAACAGCCGAAGCAGTAGTCAAGGGAAGATGTTTCCTATGGGGTATGTCCTTCAAGGACAGAAAAGGCAACAAGCAAGCAGAAACCACAAGGGCTGGATTTGGAGCTAAAGTAACAACTTTACCTCCAAAGTGGGTCCAGTCGACAGACTTGCTGGGTAAAGACAACCTAGGAAGAAAGTTTGAGTAACAAAGTTATCAATCTTACCTAGAAAAAACTTATTTGAACTTTTAATTGCAGCAAGGTTAGATCACTTCCTTGTGGTCAAAATCTGCAGTGGCATAAGAAAGTTTCAAATTCAAAGTCCACATGGAGTTAGAGGAGGAGTCTCACAGTGGGTGGAACAGGCAGGTATCCAGTGTGGAGATGCCTCACGCTGAGCTCACACTGCAGCCTTCATTTCTGGGTCAGCTCTCCAAAGCCACTGAGTGGCAGAACACACTGAGAGCTGTTTTCAACCCTCTCTGTTGAAGTATACTCATACAGGACTAGCTCTCTGCTGAGAAGCTACTGTCAGCCAAGCTTAAGGAGGAAGAAGAAATTTACCTGTGCCTATTATACTAAATCTCATTTAAAAAGAAGCTAAAATATTACAATCCCTGTCAAATTCCATCTTAGGATATTATACAGAAGAACAATTAAAACCAACATTTCCAGAGAACCTAATCAGAAACGGCAGAGGATTCAAACTCTGGGCCACTCACTCTTACCCCTTCCCTGGGTATCTTGTTGAAAACAGTGTCTCAGATTTCTTTCTAAGACACTTCATGTGTCTTTGGAGGGGGCTTCCTGAACTTGCATAAAATGCTGATGATTTCATCTTCCACCTAATGACCTATGTTACCAAAATAGAATACTAATAATCATCTATAACTAGAGAGGAAAACACTGTGACAAATATTCCCAAGTTCTCTGAAACACCATTACCTCATTTTTAACCTCCCATTTTCAGAGAGCAAATGTAAAGGCATTTGAGCGTCCTCACAGAACAGTGCCACAAGATGGCCTATATAAAAAAAGACTGGGCTGGTGGGTTAGCTCAGTAGGTTAGAACACAGTGCTGATAACACCAAAGTCAAGGCTTCGGATTCCTGTGCCAGCCATCCATCCAAAAAACAAAACAAAACAAATACTAATTTTGAAATGGACTGCTATCTAAGGAATTATCCCAATTTTAACATGCATACATACAGGATACTTACGTTCACGTATATGAAAAGGTGACAGACTAGAAGAATGTCTCACAAAATAGAAAAGGCCCAGCTCCTCTGTTGAGACTGTGAAATATGATTCTCGCTCCCCCCACGCATCTGTACTTCATCATAAAATGCAGCATTTAAGGTCCTTACCTGTTGAGTTCCTTGCTGTGTGCGTCGGCGCCCTGCTGTATCAGTCTGTCCAGTACTTCCATGGGAGAGGCGGAGGGCATGTAGTCTTCCTCTGTGCCTTTCGCTTTCTTTAACAGTTCCTTGGTCTTCTCGCTGACAAAATGATGGGCAGTCTTTGGCAATGCCACCTCAAAAAGATGATCGTACGGGTGAGGCTGCCCGCTTCCAAAGCCCACTCCCCTGTGTGGTGGAACTTTACAAGGGCTGGGAGTGAAGATACTGGTCTCCAGAGAAGTCTGGCGTTCCCTGTCCCCAGCAGGGCTTTCGTAGGCACAACCACTGGGTAGGTCTATGGGAGTAAAGGCTTGCTTTGGTGTGTCAGGCCCGAGCTTGTCCAGGGAGGAGTGTAAAGGCTCAGGGTTCACACTGGCGCCCTGAGCACTGGAGGCTGCTGAATGGGCCTTCCGCTGAGAGCCTGGGAGACTGTCTCGGTAGAAGGGAGAGTCAAAGCCTCCTCGAGGAACCATAGGCTCGGCCTCTGCTGTTGTGATCTCAGAAAGTTCTTTAGATATTGCAGCTGAAAAGAGGAATGGAAACAAGAGAACCCCCAGTAAATAATCAATCTGGGAAAGGCCAGTTTGGGGTTGCATACCACCATGTACTGTGTCACCCAGCAGGGGGGTAAAAAGTGGCATCCAGCATAGGTCCTAGAATGAAACACCCATCTTTTGCAAGTCTGTGAGTGTTGAAACTAAATCCCAGTTTTACAGGAGAATGAGCGAAATCAAGCTTTATCATTCACAGCAATTCCACATAGTTACCTTCTTCTTTATCTTTTTCAATGCTATCTTCTTCAGAGGCTAGATCACCTAAAAACCCTGGAAGATCACTTAGAGTGACAGAACCTTTGCTGCCAGGTACTTCTTCTAAAAAGAAACAGAGACAACTCAAGTCAAAGAAATACACTGTAATTCCTGTAAGTGTTAAACTGCTTACACTATAACAGAATAAGTCTAAAATAATTCTTCCTGTTGAACAGAGAAGTCTGGAAATGGCTCTCTCCTGGAGCTACTACAAAAGGCTAAGATATTACAAATAATCTAATTAAAGGTGCTGAAAATAATCCCACAGAAAAGAAAATTCTCAGTTCTTAATGTCTCCGAGAAAAGATAAAATCACACGGTTTGACCAGCTCAAAACATTTACAGGTACTTCACTGCAATAGTTTAAAAATTTTTTTGATGTTTTTGATTAGGTTGGTTTTTAGAATTCCCCACTTGTTTCATTATCTCTAGGCTTCAATGTTTTGTGGTATTCCAGACTTTCCTTGTTTCCTCTTAACTTTGATTTTAAACATATATAACCATATTAGAAGAGACAGGCAAGATCTATTGTGACACAGAGATTCTACCTAATCCTCTGTCATTCGGAAGGTGGTGCTGTCTGTGTAGACATGGCCTTGTAGAATCTGTTCTTTCTTCCTGAAAAGATAAGAACCACTTATATCACAAGGCGAAAAAATCTGTACATGTTCTTTAGCACATAGTAAAGGAGTTTAAAGTTTAGCCCAGTGATTCTCAAACTGTTTGGTCTCAACATGACTTTACATTCTTAAAAATAATTGAGAATCCCAAGAGTTTTTGTTTACATGGTTATATCTACCAATCATTACTGTATTAGAAATTAAAACTTCAAAATTAAAAAAAAATTGATTCACTGAAAAAAAAATCCACTACACATTAACGTAATTAATATATTTTTATCAAAAATAATTATATTTTCCAAAACAAAGACAAAGTGAGAAGAGTGGAACTGTTTTACATTTTTGCAACCTCTTTAATACCTGGCTTAATGAAAGACAACTGGATTCTCATATCTGCCTCTACATTCAATCTGTTGCAACATGCTATTTTGGCTGAAGTATGTGAAGAAAATCTGCAGCCCCACAGATATATAGTTGCAAAAAGTAAATATACATTAACAGACTTTTCAAATAATCGTGGATAATCATCTTGATATTATACCAAAACTTGACAAATGGCAGTTTCTTAGAAGTTAGTTGCAATGTAGAATTTGAACTCATATCAATTAACTTTTCACACTGTTCAAATCCATTGGTCTACCTTGTACTTTGAATGCACTTTTGACCTCTGCATGATTCTGTAACATTATACATCGGACATTCAGAAAATACTGGTTCACCAAGTTACTCAGATCTTTCAAAAGTTGAAACACTTGATTATAGAAAATCAAACAGTCAAATTATTAACAGGCTTCCCAAGACTTTTCAATCTCATCCTAAAGTCTTGGGGAAGCTACCAAGCTCATGGTGGCACATACAAATTTTTAAATATCCTAATTTTCACCTGAAAGTTGAATTTTGTCATTGGTATCAAATACTGTAAATTGTTTATCTTGAAGTGACAAACTCAGTTCATCATTTGCCTGCCAAATATCCAAGTCTGAATAACCAGTTTGTCCATCATTTGTTCTTTCAAGAAAAACTAGTACTCCATGAAAAAAAGCAGCTGGTTCACCTCTCAATTCAGATAATCACACGAGGGCCTGAGAGCACCGTTATATTTTGGTATGCAGTAAACGTGCTTTAGGTATATTTCCTATTTTATCACAAAGGAAATTAAAAATACATGTTCTCAAGGGCTAAGATTTAATAAAATCAATAATTTTTACTGCTTAATATAGAACACTCATAAGTTTTTGATGCTTTTTTTTTCTTTTCTTCAAGTAGAAGAGCATGTCAAGGAAAAATGCAAAGCCTGCTAGGCCTGCTTGGGGCCTGCCCTGACTTGTGCTAAGGTGCCACCATTCACCCACCATTGTTTTTGCACCATCAGTGCAAATGCCAGTGGAGTGGGGAGGGCGAACAACAGCTTAGTATTACTATGCAAGTAGGTTTGATCAACTGGGTTCCCTAAAAGGGTTTCTGGACCCCAGGGGCCAGCAGATACCTTAAAAGATGTTGGTTAGCCTATTTTCAATTGTTCTGATTCAAACCCAACACATTTTAGGTTAGAATTCTATTTGGCATAATTAGGCTGCACAAAGTGAGGCTTGCAAGTGAGTCACTGTGCTTGGGCAAAGGAACAGCAGATGAGCTGGCACACACCTTCCTGGGGGGCGTGGCTGTGGCCTGGGGGAGTGAAATGTGCACGTAGTCATCCGAATGGCAGATTGGGGCTGGAGGAGGAGAGGTTGCTGGGGTTCCTAGAGGAGTTCCTTTTCCACCTGATCAGAGACAAGGGCAGAACATGTATGAACACTGAGCCTAACTCAGAAAAACTGACAATTTTTTTTCAGTGTAACTATTACTATAAATAAAGTTGCTAGAGTTAACTTTCTGGGAATCTAAGTCAGTCTCTCTCTCTTTTTAAAGTTCACTTCACATGTTCTAAAAGCCTCAGAGGTTTGCATTGACAAAAGCGGGTTTACTACTGCAAGTGGCCCCCTTGCTAGAGTTAACTTTCTGGGAATCTAAGTCAGTCTCTCTCTCTTTTTAAAGTTCACTTCACGTGTTCTAAAAGCCTCAGAGGTTTGCATTGACAAAAGCGGGTTTACTACTGCAAGTGGCCCCCAACTCACTACTGGATCTAAGAGACAGTTCCTTTTATCCTAAAAGGCAGGCCAAAACCAACTAATCAAATCCAGCCTAAGACATACATACCAGTTGTACCAAAGACTTTACTGTAAGGGTGTGACAAATCAGGTGGGACATTTCCAGGAGAAGTTGGAGGAGTGGTCATACCACAAACCACGGATGGGCTCCACAGAGTAGCCTGGGAAGTTAATGAAGTACATCAGCAATGGCACCTGCATGCTACGTCACCCACAAGGCTCATGTCCACGGCCTACGTTCAGTTTAAGTTTAACCTTTTCAACTGGAAAAGGGCATCTTATTAACGCTTTGTCAAGAGACAAATTACATTTTGTAAGTCTAGACTCCAAGATGAACCCAAGTGGAACAGTAACTTTCTTTTCTAATATCATGAATCCTTAAAAGTGACTACTAAATCCTGACCCAAATGGACAGCTCCACCGGAAAGCAGAGGGTAGAGAAGGCACACTATGTGACACCATACTTGTGGCGGCTCAGTTAACAGCCGTGTTGATGGGGAACTCAGAGTCTGAGGTAGCTGCCCTGGCGTATTTAACAACGTCAGCCGAGAAGTGGAGTACGGGGTAGAAGTAGCACTCCCTAAAATGAAAGGGAAGAACACAGGGGTTAGTGTGTGGTTTTAGATTACTCTGATAAAAAATTATGACCATTCTCTAGACCATTCAATATATTCAATTTTCTATGTTTAAAAATATGAAGGGCTTCCAGACATTTTTGGGGACAAAGTAACAACATTTAAAAGGTGAAATGCTCTTTGGAAATAAAGTCCAGTAAGGTTTGATGTCTAGTGATCCCTCAGGATAACTTAAAAAACCACAATCTGGGTAACAGCTTCAGCGAGTACAACCTACAGATAAAGCCTAGATTTTTATATGAATCCAATTCTAAATTACCCAGACTCCTTCAAACTGTGTCAGTACTAAAGTCCAGAGGGCCTCACTCTCGGTGTCTGAAAGTAGAAAGACTCCCTTTTGAGGTGGGGCCTAGAAGTAAAAAACATGAACCCATTCTCCTTGTTAAGTGCTAAAGACACATTGCCAAGTCTGTTGGCATAGTATCAGGTAAGAGATCAAGGACATCTAAATTAAACTTGAAGTAGAAATGAATTAGAGGAAAATAGAGGCAAATTCAAGTTTAAATATTTGGGGAAAAGATCCTGGGAACTGAATTAAGTGTTAACTTTGAGCAAAGAAAATAAAGTCAACAAAGATAAACAATGCTTTCCAGAGACAAAGTTGTAAAACTGATAAGTACCAAAGTCACTTTTTACCATAGCTATTCTGTGTGTCAACATAAGGGCTGGCGGTGACATCGGCTGAACGGTGAGGAAAGCGGGCTGAGATTTGGTGAGACACAGAATAGCCATCTTCATATGAGGCTTCTGTAGGGTCCAGAGAGATTTTGGCACACTCTATTACAACATCATGAGTTTCTAATCTCTTCCATCTGTAAAAGGCAATGAAAGTCAAGAAATGCAAATTGTAAGACATTCAATCCAATCAATTAAATACTTAAGAGTGCCAATTCAGTGCCAGCAACGGAACTACGATTAGCAAAGGACAAGCAGAACCATGCCAGCCCAAGTATGACATATATAGTTAGCCTTTCATCTTACAAAACTATACCCCCACTATTTAAAATGGTTATATTGAGTTAAAGTGCCAGCCCAAGTATGACATATATAAAGAGTTAGCCTTTCATCTTACAAAACTATACCCCCACTATTTAAAATGGTTATATTGAGTTAAAAGAAACTAATTTGAAGCAAAAATTTCATCAACAAAAGACTACACATAGCCTCAAAATAGAACATAACCTATGCAGAGCAGCCACCAGGGGAAAAGATCCTTTGGAACAAAGATAATCAAAGAACAGGAGGACCTGGAAACTGCCAGGCAGCTGAGGCTGACTTAAGGTCTCCCGTCAAAGCCTTGGAATTCTAAACCATCCCTAGATCAGAAATTTGGTAAGGAAAACTCAAACTAGAGAAAACCCATGAGAATATTTAAAGAACTGTCTAAACATTCCTGTTGTGTGATCCACAATTCCACTTCTAAGAATTTATCCTATAGATATAGACGTACATCAAGACACACAACATATACAGCACAGCTTGTAACCGAAAAAAGAAAAAAACCCGAAGTCCAACCAAAGGGATATATTCTACAGAAGAAATATTATTATACTACCATCTGCTTTCAGCAGATCAATGGTTGCTAGGAGCTGGGGGAGGAGACTGACCACAAAGGGTGTGAAGGAACTTTTTGGGGAGATGAGAACGTGCTTTTTACTGTGATTGTGACTTTTGCCAAAACTTAACTGATGAATTTTATTGTATGTAAATTATAACTACTACAGTTGATTTTAGAAATCATCCTTTCAAATATTAAGTGGCATAAAATGCTCTGAATATAATCTTAAATGAAAAAAGTATATAAAACCATTGAGAGACATGCCCACAAACAGGCAGATCTGACTGCACTAAGTATTCAAATTTAAAAAACTGAAATTAGGGGTAATCTTTATTTTCATCTTTCAACTCTTCAGTATTTGCCAAATATTCTAATGACTAACTGAACATTTAAGATAGAATACTTTCTCAAGTATGAACTTACTTTTAGACAACATAATTTCACTATACATGTGTCTAAGTAGTTGGTAACACCAACAGATTCTCATCTTCTGCTCCAAAGTGTATAGAGCACAGCACAGCAGCACTAAGGGCACTCCATAGTTTTACCCTAACAAAACATCTGAACCTACACAACCATTCTAAAATGCTCATTAAGTCTTAGATGCTGTAAATGTGGTATAAATACAGAAACGAAGGCATCCAGGCCATGGGGAGAATATCTGGCAGCTTCCCTAAGGGGCAAGGCTTTCAATTCAGGGCTGCATCTGTGTTCATTACCCATGTTCCCACTGCCTGTGGCATCTGTGTTACGGGGGTAGTGTCCTCTTTACACATTCTCAGCATGACTGGAAAGTGATTAAGTGAGAGCAAGAGTCAGGACGCATATGTACACAAAAGAAGATTGATTTTAGAGAAGAAAATGAGAATCATAATAAAGTAGGAATACATTTAAATATTTTATTTTAATCAAAGTAATGTATGCACTTACAATATTTCCTTGATTCTTAAATCAACTTTTCATATTTTAATATCTCTGAAATTGGGAACTGTTGTCTAATCAGTTATACATTAGCTTATTTGGCATTCTTCCTTTTAGATGTACATCAATGTAAGATGTTCATCATACGTTCAGTGCCATCTTAGATTCAATGAAATAGGGTAGTTTAAGAAGTCGATACAGTACTAAAGGGTACCTCCCTCATCCCTCTCCCCCGCAACCACTCTGGTAGCTGCTTCCAATTCTGTTAGTTGAATTGTTATCCTACCTCAATATAAATATTAGATATCGCCTATTAACTTCCTATTATGGTAGGGGAGGATTGAGGTCACTTCTATATATCCTTTCCCTCCTCTCCATGTTCTTAAAATAAGTACATTATTGCTTTTGGTTTTTTCAAAATTAATTTTCAACAATTATTATGACCATGTAAGCACTATTTGCAGCTGAGCCAGAATATACTATGATATTTTCTTTCCTGTTCAATTTAGTTTGTCCTGAAGTTGTAATTTTTCTATTTCTTCTCTTCAGTTTTCTTTGTATCTATTGCTAACTCTTCCTAAACTTATTTCTAACAGCTCTGAAATAAAGCCTAATATAATTTTTACATAATGAAGCACAAATAATCTACCAGGATTATTCCCCCTCTGTCTAAAGAGCTTCCCCTCTCTCCTACTTCAGTCTAAACTGGTTGTTCTTAGCACGGCTATGCAGCTGGTCGCCCGACACTTCTCTTGACCATGATCCTAAGTTGGGTCCCCAGTTTGCTGGGCTCCGTGTCTTCCTCCTCCTTGATTTTACTCTCATTCTGGTGGTACACATACTCCAGTGGTTAGCTGAGGAAAGATGTATGGGAGATAAATTTGAGTCCTTGCATATCTTAAAGTATCTCATACTTGATAAGTAATTGGCTAGGTATGAAATTCTAAGTTAAAAACCCTTTTCTGTCAATTTTGAAGGTGTTTCAGAAGCTAACACCATTCCGCTTTCTGATCCTTAGTAAGTGTTTTGGGTTTTTCTTTCTCTGAAAGGTTCATCCATGGTATTTTGAAATTTCACTATATTGAGACTTGGTGGCATTCTTTTTCGCTGACTGAGCTGGGCACTAAGTCAGTCCCTTCAATCTGGAAAATCATGTCCTTTGATTATAGAAAACATTTTTGTATTATATCTTTCACAATTTCTCCCACCACCAAAGTTTTCTCCTCTCTTTTTAAAACTTTTTTTTTATTGGCTGTTGGACTTCCTAGACTGATTATTCTAAATTTCCTCTCTTATATTACCCATCTCTATCCTTTGGTTCTGCTTTCTGAGATATTCTCAACTTTATCTCCCAGTTCTTTTATTGAAATGTTTATTTTGGCTATCATTTTTAATTTTTGAGAGATCTTTCTTTAGTCTTGAAATATTCCTTTTCTGTGGCATCCTGACCTTTATATACGCACGAATGTCTTATCTCTGTAGTTAGTGCAGACATTTTCTTCTGCTTTCTGTATTGTCATTGTTTCTTTCTAGCTCCCTTTTCTCCTCTTCATGTTGGTCTGTCTTTTGTGTTACAGCTTTCTTCAAAAGCCAGATGATCTGTCTTGCCAAGGTGAGTGAGGCTCTGTAAGATGACTGAGGAGGCTTCCAAATTAATAAAGTTGACTGAACATATGCACCCAATTGTATAACTTCCTGAAATTCCACTTGCTAAAGTAAAGATTTGTTTGTTGGTTTTTAAATATAAATCCACAGGGAAAGAGGGAATAGCACCATAAGTTTTTGAAACTGGGAAGCAGATAGGCAAGTGGTAACTGACAAAGCAAATCAAAGAAAGCAGAATCCTAAGCTGCCAATGTTTCAAAGCTAAGAGTCAACCTGGTTTATACTGCAGAATCCTTAAAATGCTAAAGAATTTATAGCATCACGTACTTCTGGAACTAGAGATGAGTGGCAGGTAGGTAAGAAAAGCTAAAATAAGGAAGACAGAGTGAAACCTGTTGGAGGAGCAGTTAGAGTCCTGAGGTCCCTCCACAACTCAATGCTCCCAGGCAACAGCTCTTTTCTCACCAGAAATCAGAATTATTCTCTGCAGAGACTAAAACAAGGAGTTTCCAGACAAGGTATTCCAGAAATAGTTGAGAGCATGAGTACCAGTCCAAATAAGAGGATTAAATGAGTACATACATTCTGAATGGTAAGACCACCAGCCCCTCCTCACCACCAGTCTCTTTCCCCCCCAGTGGCAGCCAGACCTCTACCAGTCTGGAGATCAGAAGACTCTTTTCTAAAATAATTGACCAGCTCAAGAAGAAAATAATACTGACACCAGTATCTCCAACAGATACTCAGATCAACATACAAATTCGGGCCGGCCCGGTGGCGCACTGCTATAGTGCACCGCTTGGGAAGTGCAGCGGCGCTCCCGCCGAGGGTTCGGATCCCACATACAGACAGGTTCCCGCTCACTGGCTGAGCGAGGCGCGGGGGCAACACCGAGGGTTGCGATCCCGTTGCTGGTCCCGGTCCGGTACGGGGGTGACACTGAGGGTTGCGATCCGTTGCCGGAC